AGCAGGAGCACCTCTGAAACTGTGCATGCACCTTTAATGTGTGCAAGGAATATGCTGCGAGGTAACAGTCTGCTCTCTTACTACACACAACTTATTTGTCCGAATATAAAGTTGTGTCTTTATAGTGTGACAATGGGACGCGTTGTATACGGCGATGACACAGTGATGAGTCTGTACATTAAACAGTATGTGGCCTATAAGAGACGTGTCACACTCACTCTGAGGTTAATAGAAGCGTGGTGTGATGTGCATGAAGTCATCAGTCACTGCTCCATAATGACAGAGCTAAGTTTGAGCCCACGGTCCTGTAGAGGTTCATTACTCATGCTGCTGCAGATGTCTGCTGCAGGAGGGTGTGGGGCAGCAGGTGGAGCTGTCTGTGTGCCCAGCTGAGCTCTAAAAGCCAGTGCTTAGCACCCACAGCTCTGTCATCTGGCCTCTCCTGTCTCCTGCAGCCTCTCGACAGCCCATTCCTCATCATTTACCCCTTTTTGGCAGAGCCCAGAGCCCTTCTAATGGGCCGCTCTGAACGCTTCCAGATGTTTGTTTATTTGTTGTGCAGCGACTGTAAAACAGTTTACTCTTACTTTGGATGTGTTCCCACTGCTCCTTTTGGCTGCAGCGCTGAGTCGCAGTGCGGATCAGCCGACATGTAATGAAAGTAAACTGGCAAACAAATGTGCAGCGCCCCCTGGGTGTCATCAGGAAGGAGCGCTGTTTCTGAGCTTTGAAACCTGCCTTCCTCTGGGAGTCTAATAACAGTTGTGCACATTTAAGTAACATACATACAGAGTAGCTGGAAGCAGGCCCAGAAACACGAGATGAAACGCTCAGGGCTGGTACTGTAGGCACGTCTTTGCACACTGCAGGAGAGTACAAAAACATCTCTTTCATTTAGAGCTGTCAGCGCTGAGGGATGGCCCCTCGCTGCATCTGCTCCTGCACAAACACCGTGGACGGACTCTTTACTTCTATACACACAATAAACTTTTCATTAACATCCTCTGCATGCAGCACAATATATCAATCATATCTGCGTGTGTAGAGGTATAATTAGATCTATAATGCGTCGCTCTTCAGAGGCATCAGCGCCGCGGTGACAGAGGCAATAAATAACCCAGTGTTGTTGTTCTCGGCAGTGAGACAGGGCTGTGGAGCCGACTGCGGAGGCTAAATGTGCGGTGAAGGCCAGTGTCCATGAAGACACCACTGTAGGCGGCTGCACGTCCCACACGCAGCCTCTCAGAGCGGAGGTGACAGGCTGAAGCTCCCCAGGCCTCTGCACAGTCCACTACTGTCACACAGTCCACTTACAACCCTCCGCCTCCCGTTATCTCCCGCCCTTCTTTTCTTAACTTGTGTCTATCGCACTTGACTGGGTGTACTTCATTGTCTGCCTCTGATAGGTGCTTGTCCTACAGTGGTGTCCTTGGCCCAGGCTCTCTCTGTCTGGGCAGTGACCTGACAGGACGGGCCGATCCTCTGGGTGCTCGTAATTACCTTTGACAACGCCGCAGTGGCTTTGGGACGGCTGCACAGGTGACAGGAGGGGGCGTGTGTGCTGAGAGAGTGTGTGGATGTCTTTCACAGAGAAGGGAAAAGATAAATATATTCTTTATGTTTGGGAGGAGAGCAGAAGTTGTCCACAAATGGCAATCAAATTTACAATTGTACATGTACTGTTTCAGGATGTTGAAAAGATGTCAAAAAACTAGTAAAGCTCTATGTCAGGAGCTTCAAGTTCTTTTAGGTCATAGGCCGGGTTCAAAAAGTAATATTTTGTCAGGGACCTTCTTAGTGGAGGGTTAGATTTTTGTATATTTTCATGAAGATAAATATGAAATATAAATTAGGATATTATTTTCTGGTAGATTTTTCGGAACAAAAGAAGTTACTGTTTGTCTAGATTGAAAATTAAACTGGGCCTGAGGATTGTAATTTTAGACGAATATGCCAATGATAATTGTTACCATCAATGCTGGAAGTAAATAACAATCATTGATGGTCCAGCCCTTACAAATGCTTGAGAGATATATGGAGACATTACTCCATATAACTACACATTCTCTCATCATGTTTTTTCTCACTGGTTTGAGTTGTCCTTCATTTGGTAAGTAATCTTTATTTAAATGTATATATATATATTTATTGGGTGCTAAGAAAATGCCATAATTCACACTCGCTCATGCATACTTTTAAAATATATAGGACCAACACAGGGTTTCTTTTGGTATTTGCAAGCCAATATTTATCAGCATGTCCCGGCGATTGTGGGAAAACATTCTGACAGGGGATAAGACTCATTTTAGATAAAGTACGACCATATTAGTCCAGTCCTCAGGTCTCTGCACTAACTTCCTGTGGCTCAGAGAATAGACTTTAAAACAGCTCTGCTTGTTACAAGTCTCTCCATGGCCTCGCACCAAAGTACATCAGTGACATGTTAGTACCATATGAACCAACTCAGACTCTGAGGAGCACAGGGACTTGCCTCCTGCTACTGCCCAGAGTCAGAACTAAACATGGGTTTGCATCCAAAAATTGTCTTCCTTAAAATGTGAGACAGGCTTCTACTCCAACAAAAATCAGTTGTTTAGCTGTGCTACAACTGAGGAATAAAATTTTCGCTCTTATGTATGTATGACTCTAATGCCTAGTATCTTGTTTTGTTAAGCATTTTTAGTTGCTTTGTGTATGAACTGTGTTATACAAATAAACTTGCCTGATCTACTAACGCTAATCCATTCAATACACTATTCCAATAGAACCAACTCGGACTCTGAGGAGCACAGGGACTGGCCTCCTGCTGGTGCCCAGAGTCAGAACTAAACATGGAGAGTCTGCATTTCAGTCTCATGCTAAAATCTGGAACAATCTTTCTGAAAATGTGAGACAGGCCTCTTTTCTGACAATGTTTAAATCGAGATTAAACATTGTGCAGACAACTGAAGGATTGTATCTTCACTCTTTTTTAATGGTCTGTAAAATGTATGCCTTGTGCGACTATTTCTATCTTGTTTTGTTCAGCACTTTGAGTTGCCTTGTTTATGAATTGAGCTATACAAATAAACTTCTCGTGCCTTGCCTACACTCAACTAAAAAAATCAAAGCGTCCAAACAGCGGCGAGTTCCTTTGAATGTACATATTTGTTTCCGCCCTTGCCGCCTCCTGCCCGTTTGAAACACCAAACCCACGGTAAATTGCCTCGTTCACCGTGAAAAAAGCAGCTCCATTGAAACAATAACACGCCGTGCACTGTATTGTTCCACTGCGCTCCTTCATATCCCATAATGCAACCCAACAGCACTTTGTTTTTGGAATCGGTGCGAGGACAAAAGTTCTCTGCTTTATCCGTGCTCTCGCCACCGGCTTCGCTCTCTCCCCCTCAGTCTCACAAGTGCACGTTTGCAACATAAAAAAAAAAAAAACGGTCCAGGACGTGGAGAGGAGTGGAAGGGCGAAGATGAGAGCGCTGTTATCTGAGGCTCCAGCGATGCATCATAAACATAACAAACGAGGAGAGAGGCGGGCGTCCTCAGACCCTTAAACGTTGACAAAGTATGAGGCTCCTCCTGGCCACATGTCCACTCTGAGGTGTAAAGTGGATACAGCGATCATAGTTTTGTATTTTTGGTGCGTTTTGGGGACTTTTTTTGCCAGCAAACATAACATTTGCCTCTGAATCAGAATCAGAGTGAGAATTAGAATCCTTTTACTGCCATGCGAGTAACAAGAAGCCACAAACTACGACAATGCTTTGGCTCTCGGTGCAAACATGTTAAAGCTGCATTACCTCACTTTATTTTTGTATTCATTACAAAAATTTAATCCATATCCATGCAGTGCAAGTTTTCGTGCAACAAGGAAGATAATTTGTTTCGGGACTAGATTATGACCAATCACAGCGGACCGCTAGCCCCCACTTTCTTGAGAAAAGCTACAGGTCTCTTGTTAGCACAGACAGTGCTAACACTGTCACTGAAAATGTGCGACCCATGTTGTGAGACGTGAGCTCCGTAGCGCATGAGCACAGGCTGAGTGGGAGAGGGGTAGTGGGGGGTGAAAGCTCCGTGAGTGCGGGGAGGACGAGCAGAAAGAGAGAGGCCAGCGCTCACATTCGAAAAATTCACAAATTGAGTTAGTGCAGCTTTAAGCGGAATAAAATCAAAAAGGCAAAATCTATACTGGTCATTTATAATAGCACCATATGAACCAGCGCACAGGGACTGGCTTTCTGCTGGGGCCCGGAGTCAGGACTAAACATGCGGAGGTAGTGTTTTAGATGTAGCTGAAATCTGGAAAGGCCTTCTTGAAAATGTGAGACAGGTTTCTTCTCTGACAAGACAGGGACCCCCAAAATAAAACACAAATCCAACTCAAAACCTCTGAAAAGAAATCATTTTTTAGGACTGCAACTTTTAACTTAAATAACAAGTTAAAAGTAGCTCATTTTGTTCCTAAACCTCTGCAGGACGTGACACTCACTAAGAAAACTAAAACAACAACTTAACAATAACTGATGTGGTCTGAGGCATTGTGGGTTGTCAGTTCTCCATTCTACAATGTCCATTCTTTTTTTATTTTTTTATAAAACACAGAACTATCACACTTTAGTTTTTCTTTTAAATAACACAGAATAACTTTGTGAAGTCCGGAGCATAAGTCAGTCCAGTCAGGAGTCGCTCGGACCAGAGAGAGGGAGGCGAGCGGGAGATGGATGTGTCCGGAACAGTTGTTATGAAGGAAGCAGCACAAAGAGGAGCTTATTGAGGAAGGCCTGACTTAACCTTTCACTATTTTGAGTCAATAAATTATGACAGCAGCGACAAGGGTCATCTGCACCGCCATTTACCATTGCAGACAACTCGGAACCACCTGACGCAAGCAAACAGAAGGCACTGAGCAAACACAACGATAGGAGTTTCCACGTCTGATGGTTTTCCAGGTCCGACAGTCACAGTGTAGATCAGTGCAGCGTTCATAAATGCACGGGGCTCACCTCTGTGGTTTCTTCCGTCTCTGGAGCCGCGGGGCAGAGGTGTGTAAGGCAAAGGGTGATTGTCCGGGGCGGCGTCACTCGGAGGCTGCAAGAGGAAAAATAGAACACAGTTAACTCTCTCCAGGCAGGCGTTGCAGATTTGCAACAACTTCCTTTCTTATTACCTGACTATTCCACATCCATATTTTACTGCTTTAGCAACACACAGTTTTCCCACATTTTTAGCAATACAAAGTTTTCCCCACCCCCTGAGCTCTCACTTCCAAAATGTCTCCTTGAGTTCACCCAAACAGATTTTCTAGACATCAATTTCATTACCAACCTCCAATAATTTCAAACCAAAACTGCATACAAAGAAAGATAAATATATATAGATACAGTACATGCCAATTAGCAGATTGTATCTCCTCTTGGTTTCCCCCCTGGGTCAGCTCTATTTACCACAGCGGGGCAATGTTGCAAATCTGCATTATCCCAGAACGCATTGCTTGTAAAGGTCTCTCTCTCTCTCTCTCTCTCTCAAAAATTAAATTCAGGATTGTATTTTAATACCCCATATGATAATTTTCCCCAAATATCAGATATTTCCGTCATGTAAATATAATTGACAGGAAAAATCTGAATTGGGTAAAATCTGCATTACCTAACTTTCAAAACACCAAAGACTAAAATCCATGTAACTAGTTCCTCAATCTAAAAACAGTTTGGTTCTAATATTAGTTTTCATGTGCATGTTTTTGTTTGCTCTGTTGCATTTCTAGATGAGCAGAAAAGAGAAATTATAACTTTGTTTGACTACAATTTGAAAGTTTTCTATTTGAAACAAACAAAATATACACAACATAATAGTAAAGATAAGATAAGATAGACTTTATTGATTAAAAAAATGAGATTATATTTCTCATTTAAAGTGGGGAAGTGGATGTTGTTCTGAGAGTAATCCTGGGTTTGAATCCAAGTGGGAACATGGCCTTTCTGAGTGGAGTTTGCATGTTCTCCCCGTGTCTGTGAAGATTTCCAGTTGGGACGAACTAAATGCATACATTTTAGAAAAGAAAAGATATAGATTTGAGCATGTTTTTACTGCCTTAAAACAATATTTGCCAATGGGTAAAAGAAAAATGATCTTGTGTCTCTCTTGGAATGATAAAATAGAGCAACAGTTCTTGAAATAAGACTAAATGGCTTTGTCCCATTGGAAAATCTTGTTTTGAGACAGAATGTACTCAAATTAACTACTTGATTCAAGCAATTATTCCCTCATATTTTCCTCATTTTTTGCAGTGCATGACAACTTTATGGTTTGGACAGCTATTCCCGGACTTCCCTGCCTCCCGTGAACTCTTGTTTTTGCTTGAGCAGTTTCAGACCCAGGTTTTGTGGGTGGCAGGTGGGGATTTATCACTGCTCACACGGTGCGCTCCCCACCCGGCCCACAGGCTTTGAGGCTCCTGACCTCCACCCGGCCCTGACCCCACGCACCGGTCAACCAAAGGCTACGGCCGTCACTGACACAATGTCGGGACTATAGCGGTATAGGCTCAAACTGCCAAATAACTTCCCCTTCCGATTCATACAGCACATGATAAACAGCTGCACTGCAAAAAGTGGCAAAAAATAAGTTTAAAAATTGCTCAAATTTGGCATAGTTTATGTTAATTTGAGCACATTTTTAACAAGATTTGCCAATGGGACGCAGCTGAATTATCTTGTTTTACATAGATACAAAAAAAGGGCTCAATTGGATTTGAAAAATAATCTTGAAATAAGACGAAATGGCTTTGTCTCATTGGAAAATGTTGTTTTAAGACTCAAATTAACATAAAAACTCATCAATGTAAGCAATTACTACATCATATTTGTCCATTTTTTGCAGTGTGCACGTGGAGGAGTGACAAGTGCGAGGCTGGGCACGCATTCCCCACACAGGTCAGAAGTTTGTCGCATTGTTGTTCCGTGCGCCGCGCTCTCAAGGTCCAAAACATCCTCTTCCTTCGGCGAGGCTTTTAGCAACTGGAGCGGCCACTTTATCATGACACAGCCCTATCTGATGCCTTTGCACAAATACTTTCCTTTTTCCTCCAGGAAGGAATCCGCCAGGCCCCTTAATCATCGTCGGAGCGCCAATGACAAATACGCATTAGCTGTGGTGACGCGCTGCATTTTTCCTGCTTTTATTGTTGTTCCTCTACATGGCCATGCATAACCTTGAGAAATGGCGAGGCCTGAGCTGTTAAATGGAACCATATTCTTCATGGGCAAAGAGAGTGCTGTGAATTGAAAACGATCACATAATGCGCGCCCTGATAGCATCTCTGAAAGGCATTAAGGCCGGACAGCGCGAGGCTCATATTACACTGGGAGAAAAATGGCTAAATAAGCGCCTGGTGAGAACTTACTGCGAGCGCCTCTGGACCGTGCCTTTGGTGGAGAAATATTGACTAATAGAAATGTTGTGTGAGAAGATGGGGGTTTGTGGGTCTCAGCGGTTTTCACACACCTGCGTGGAAAGTTTACTCAGGACAAAAAAAGATATAATTTTGCAACATTGTGCTGTATTGCGTTGCGTTAAAGGAGACGTGATATGCAAAATCGATGTTGGCTCGGAGCAGTTTTTTTCATATCCACGTTAATAATAGGAACTTATAGGAACTTGGCACAAACATGTGACTCCGCCCCTTCTGTCTAAAAGGTTCTGTCTCGTGCCCTATTCATGTGATCTCGGAAACTTGGAAGTTCCGACTCTCCACTTGAACAAATGTATACAGCTCAACATGGAAATTCAACTGGGAAAGTTCTTAAATAGAATGAAAGAAAATAGAAAAACTTAGAAGGGATGAGTTTTCTACCACGCTGATAGTTTTACGCAAAATATTTAAGGCCACATTCAATTTAAAATGTTAATTTGTGAATATATGGCCACAATGAAAGGAACATCTAAGATTGTAAGCACATTTTATCATAAGGAAGCACATATTTGCTCTTGTGTTTCTCAGATCACAGCAGGGAAGGTTTCTCGTGAACGAACAAAGAGAATGTGTAATATTTCATGTTTGTGTTGTCCCCAGCTCCTCATGAATGTTCTGATTTTGAAGTTTCCAAGATTGCACAAAAACTGCATCCGTCCAGTCATGATGTAAATGTACCACGGTCACATCACATTTAGAGCAGTTCTCTACCTTTTAAAACAAACACTGTGTTTGCAGCTGGTAAATTTCAAATTTGAAAAAATGAACAAAAACAATTCTAATCCTCCCTCTGGTGGTAGCAAAGCAGGTCGAGCAGCCCTTTTACCCTTTTTTACCCTTGATATTTGTTTCACCCTTGATATTTATTTCTTCTATGTAAGAATTTTTTTTCCACTTTTAAAACCTGAAAAAAATAGGCTAAAAACATTTTGTTGACAATTTAGAGCGGCTTTAGCAATTTATCAAGTGTATCTTTCTAAAAAGTTACACTGCAAAAAATGATAAAATATGAAGATAATGCTTGAATCCAGTTGTTGTTTTAAAATCTTAACTTGAGTACAATCTGACTGTTATAAAACAAAATTTCCCAATGGAACTGTTGTTTTCATTTTCCATGGGAGACATTTCTTGTATCTTTTCAAAACTAAATCATGTGTTTATTGTCCCATTGGCAACTTTTGTTTTCAGGCAGTAAAAATGTGCTCAAAGATACATTTAGGAAAATTTTAGCTATTTTTCCATTTATTTTTATTTTTTTACTCACATACCTTTTCATTATTTAGGGTAGTAATTTCTCCTATAAGTCGACAACAAAGTAACTTCTATCAGAGAGCAAAGAGCCTCTTGGGCTCAGACAGCAGGACAGTCCTCTCCATACAGTGGAAAAACAGTGCCAATAGTGTGTCAATAGAAGAGCACATGTGACTGGTCCTTAATGACAGGAAGTGTGACCCCTCCCCTCTCCTCGCCTGCTTGAACGATCACAGCCTCTTGCCGTGCCTTTTCTCCACCACAAAACCAACCCCGCTGCTACACAACAATCCATCTTCCCCTGTTGCCACGCTCAGAGCAGCAGCAGCAGCAGCAGACCTGGGGAAGAGCCCGCCCCCGTGGTCAGCCTGGTCCCCCTGTACCTCCCAGTCGATTGTCAGAGAAGTGTCCGAGGAGGAGATCAAAAGGAGAGCTCCATTCAACATGTGTGCGGTCACTTCCAGAGACGCACTGGCCACACGCAGCTCTGAGGCTGGGGGAGGAGACGCAGGAGATGGGGGATGTCTCGGCCATGTTGGGGGAGAGTGTGAATTCCAATGTATATACAGTATATGGAATAATTAGTAAAAGGAGAAGGAGATGCTAATTTGTGATAACTGTATAACTGTTGCGAGGTAAAAATACATGAAAAGCTGGTGATTATTCTAAATGCAGACACAATGTTAAGATAGATTTAGCCAAATCTATCTTATGTATGTTTGTTTGGGTTGAATTGATTTTCAGAGGTGACTTTCACTAGTTTGAAGAGCTTTCTATAGAGTACACTGCAAAGAAGTTCTTGATTTACTTGTTTATCACTGTAATAGTATTGTTGATATATCTAACTGATACATTACAACATGAAAACCTGCGGCTTATATTCAAGTGTGGCCTATGTGAGGACAAAAATGTCCTCACATACAATTTTCTTTTTAAATGCAGCTGATGCGGTAAATATTCCAGCAAGTCGTGTATATCAGAGTAGGTAAAACTAGACCAGATGAAACTAAAGTAAAAAGTTATTTAAATTTCTTCAAAAGAGCCACAAACACACAGGATTGTTGATGGAGAGATAAAAAAGTCATTAACAGAAGGAAATAGAAAATGTTAAAGACAAATGCAAGGAAATGTTTGTGGGAGGCAAGGTCACTGTATAGAAAGTGTCATGGATTCAAGAGCAGAACAGTGAAATAAATATGAAACTAAATAAATACAAAAATACCAGGAAAATAAATGCAAAATTTGAAATGATGCTGTAAAAATGTAAACATTTAACCATAACAACCCACAAGCACATATGCCCTCTGTAAAAGAAGTCACTAATGCACTAGCATAAAAAAACCTTCACTGTTATTGCCACTGTTTT